AGAATATGGTGAAAAAACATGTCTATAACAAGTTTTATATCTGTCCAACCAGCACGTTAGCAGCATAAACTTGAACGATTTTAATTATTTTCATTCTTCAAGTTCTTGCAGGATCTGTATCGAAGGAAACCCGTAGAAGAAGTTTCGCTTAGGCATTATTTTTTTTAATAAACGAGAGCTTCTTTCAGTTGAAAATTGAACTTTTGCATTCAAGCGCTCCATTGTTTTTTTCAAAAACTTAATGTATACTGCACTAGCTGTGGGCATGTAGATTAAATGATTTTTCTCTTTCCTCAAATTTGGATAAAAAGAGGCGCGGACGCGAAAAGAATGCTAAAGATGGGCCCCGCGTTTTCATTTTCAAATACAACGAATGATTTTGATCAGAATTGATTTTAGTTCTTTATGAGGCAGATTTTGTCTGCTTGGTTTTTCAAAATTTTTTATTTATAAATGTTGAAAATTTCTTTTCTGTCTCCGGTGCTATCCTAAATAAATGGTTCATAAACTTTAATTCGTTACCATTTATACAAAATCTTATTGTTTTGCTAGACAAATGAATGCGTCTATGTAGGTTTTTTAATCTTATGTGTGTGCACGGATGGTGGGATTTTGTGTGCTATAGATCACTGTGTACTTAAAATTCAATTGAATTCTAAACGATTGCATTGAATTTCATTGTTTATCAATTGTGTACAAAAGGAAAAAAAGATTCGCCACATACTAGTTTTGGTCTATATATAAATACAAATATATATATATATATACATATACACGCAGCCATGGACATCTAAATAGCATGCACTTCCGTATAAGTATAAACATAAAGATTTGGTAAGAGATTTATATAATATAAAAAAGAAAAGAAAGAATTAGAGGTAAAAGTATATGAAAATGTTCGCAAATGTAAAAAAAAAATTCCAAAGGTATGAAAATTCTTTGGACACAGAAATAGCTCAAAAATCGTTAACTGGAAAAGAGGTGTGTCCCCCATTACAAATCACAGGCCGAAGGAGACCATACGTAGAGGGGACCACAGGATGGCCAAGGACTTATGATCCGCCCGTTCGGTAAGTAGGTTTCGTCCGTCCGTTTACTCCTGTCGTGTCCGTGGGACAAAAATTAAGCTCTAAACCGTATTATTCGAAGCTTCCCTATTCATTTATTTATTAAATACAAGATACAATATAGAATAATACGATCTAACCTCGTCTATAATATATATGAAGGTGTCAAGTGTACGATGTTGTATTGAAACCATGCCTTAAAATGTAAAATTTTATGATAGAAAAAAAAAAAAACAAGTGAACACGGTATGGTTGGACATCATACCACACTACATTCCGCATATAACGACTTTTTAAAATTAGATGTTATACGGGAAGCGGTCGAACAAGTGGTCTGATCTGAGCCATTTTCAACTGCGCTCGTGCTTGAGCCAAAACATGCCGGTATACCAAATTTCATTAAAAATGTTGCAAAATAAGACCCGCAAGCTTAGAATTAATCATAAAATGATTCAAAGGCGTTGCAACACATCTGCACACAAACACATAAGGTATAGAAAACTTGAAATTTAACATTATGACGAAAGAACAATAAATAATTAATAATGCATTCAAAAGGTAGCAGTTACGATCACGAAATTAATTTTCTTCATAAATTACAACTAAACTATTTTTCTATCCTACACCGCTTGTGCAAGGTACATGGGTATGTTAAGTGTGTGCGGATTTAAGGTAGACCCACGGTATATTATGTTAATGGATTCAGGCTCACATTTTGAATCAATCAAACTTGTCTGTCCATCTGTCTGTGTGATGCCTAACCATACAAACTTATGTTCAAACTAATTCGTCATAGTATAAATGGCGTTAATTTTGATGCTACGGTTGTGGCCAGATTCATAATACATTTAGGATTCAAAGATTGACTAACCGAGAAAAACAAAGAATGAAAAAAAAAAAAAAAAAAATGATAAATAATTCCGCTTAACAATGTTGTCAACTAATAATAAAATCTTTTATTTATTAATTTGTTTAAAAATGTTTATTAACAATGTATTGCAAGTTTGTGCTATTCATGTGCTCATGGCTGCGTATATAAAGAAATAAATAAATAAATAAATAGATAAATAAATGAATAAATATATATATATATATATATATATATATATATATGTCTTCTCTGTCTTTTTCCTTTTATCTCTATTCCTTCTTTGTCTCTAGATAGTTGCAACAAGTGTAAGCTTACTTACTATGCATGTGTCTTCATATACCTTATGCCGCACACAATATTTGAATTGTAAAGTTTTTTGCAATATCACTACTCCTCGGTGCGCTTGCTGACAACTGAATTGAACAGTAGAGCAATAGTAAACAGTACCATCGGTGAAACAAATAATATATAAACTAGTAATATATATATAAATATATATATATATATATATATATACATATATATATATATATGTACATATTATAACATGTGTGTACACTTTTATTTTATTTAATTTGTTTTTTTTTTTTTAGCAAGTCTAATGCTTATATGTGACATAAATTTATTTCTTTGCGAGAAGAAGAGCTGCTCAGTAGGTGGTCTTATTTCATAGCTGGACAAAAAAAAAAAAAAAAAAAAAAAAAACAAACTAAAAAACCAAAAGTTATTTTTTCGAATAAAAAACTATTTCGATTAAACAATTGTCAATGGTATTTGTTACATGATGTATCAATTGTTCTTGCGACTAATTACAGACTGTTTGCCAGTGATATAAAGACGAGTTTTCACGTAAAATGTGTAGCAAATTTATTCATATTCAACGTTCAAATCAAAACACTAAAAATATCCACTGCAGGATTAAGATTAGACTCTCTTCATAGAGCAAATATGTCATTGATTAGTTTAAGAATTTGACGAACGTAAACGTGCCCATCCGTCCGTCTATCGTTCGAATGTTAACAGTTTCGATTTAAGGCGAGTATTAGTTTACATTTACCGAAAAGAAAATAAATTAAAAAAATTTTAAACAACATCGTAAGAACTTCGACTGAGTTGGCGAAAAATCGCAGAGAGCGAGAGAGAGAGAGAGAGAGAGAGAGAAAGAAAGAAAGAGAGAGAAGAGAAGACGGAAAGATAGCGATAAAGTCAATACTAAAGTTTCAAATTCGTTTTCATAGATTAAGTCAAAGGCAAATAATCATTTCGCCGGTTAAAGCCGAACATTTCTTGCGCAAATAATCCATAAGTTATATTAACTGGGATCTATAGAATTCGGAGTTGAGTTAGTGTGGCCCTCTTTTGAATTCTTTCATTCAAGGTAAGTTCATATTCGTTTTTTTTTTTTTTTTTTTTGGAAATGCGATAAGAATTTGAAGTAGTTTTAGGAAAAACCGTTATCTGATAGCTGTTCATATTTGAATCGATATGTGTACGAAAGTTTTGTGAATTTATCATCTCACCTAAATTTTGGATAAAGTGAAAGTTATGTTGTGTTCATGTGTTCAAGCTACTCTTTCGGTTTCTACTAAGACATGTTCTGATCAGGTGGTTTAATTGATTTTTTATACCGCGCCGCTTTCTTAGTGGTAAAAGGAAAATGAAGGAAAAGTTAAGAGACGGCATCACGTTGACTTGCAATCAAAAATGCGTTACTTAATCATGAATGTAACTTTCGTAGTGAACGACTGTAGCATTCTCTCTATTACTTCTTTTTTAATTTTAGTTTTTTTTTTTTCTTTTTTTTGTTTAGCTTTTGTCTTTTCTCCATTTCCTTTCCTAAAGTTGTTATATACTATAAGCATTTTGACAACTTTACATCAAGACAGTTATAGCAACTGCCAATGTAGTATTGATGGCTAAATAAAGTTCAGTCAGTTCAAGTATAACTTGTGTACAACTTAAAAGATGATTTAATGTCAACTAGCAGACGGCCGATCAAGTCAGCGGGATCTAAACCGATAGAACGAAGAGAATACAGACAACGTACAATCACAAAACAATAACGAAAAGATGACTTATAGACAGTAAAATGAAATATGTCTACGTTACAATAGCAACAAAACATTGACAACAAAGTTAACATTAAAAATTCTTATACAACAAGGGAAAAAGAAAATTTTTAAATAATAAAAAGAAATTTTTTTTTTTTTTTTTTTTTTAAGTTTGAAATCTGTTGTGTTTGAATGATGGCAAGAATAGTTGCAACTGACTAAATAGTGAAAGGAATTGCGGTGGAATTATTGTTTCTATTGCAAAAAACGGAAAACAAACATACACACACACACACACACGCACTCGTATACGCATACGTATACGGGCGTAATCAGAAATTTCATAAATTTATTCAATTTACTAAAGTTTTTATTTAAATTATATTGAATATAAAAAGTTCCTCTTATAGCGAAGCAATGAAATAATAATAATAATAAATAGGATAATTTAAGATTTGTGTAAAAAAAAAAAAAAAAGTGTGTACATAAGTAAAAAACAAAAATTGATTTCTTTTAAAAATAAACAACAATTTTTAAAACTAATTATATAAATATAAAAATAATAATAATAATAATAATAATAATATTAATAATAAAAAAGCGATTAAGCTAAGGGAGAAAACATTTTTTCTATTTAGAAAATTTCTATATTTTACTAAAAGTATGCTAAGCTTTTGCTAATTAAACTGATACCTAAAAATATACGTTGTATAACAAAACGGAAACAATTTTACCGTCACTTAGAAGAAATTTTGCCCTTTGTACATAGTTTATAATTCGTTTTGTTTATTTATTTCCTCTTTTCTTTTCTTTTTTACTATTTCTTTTGCTTTTTAATTTCTTGTCCAATTAGTCAAAGTATCGTCCTATTTTTGTTTCTTATTTGATAATTTCTTATGGCCTAGTTTTAGGCAATTTTTTAAATTCTCAAATAAATTTTTATAATTTTCTTCTTTTAACTTTTCATTTTTAATTTTTAATTTTTAATTTTTTTTTTTTTTTGTTAGTTTTTCATCCGGTCAATGTGGGAGTGGTTCGTACCAATGTCAAGTCCAAAGGTGTTGTTGCCTTACTTATGACTCCTTCGGCTTTAATAACCGTTTCAGAAGTCTTCAAAGACGATATCTGATCTTCATTCAGTTTCGATTTTATTGATAAATCTATGGGCTCATCTTGAATACCTTCTGGTTTTGTTGAATTCTTTTCAATTTTATAGGCGGGTTGTAAATAAGTGGGTGGAGTACCTGCTAATAACGGAGGCGGTAGACTTAAGGCAAATGATACAAAAGGACTTCTTAACGGTTCGGAATGACTACGAAATATTTGTAGAAATTGTTGTCGCTTGCGTTCACGTTCATCGCCATCGCATGCCTCATCACCGTTGGTACTTAATTCCAATGCTTGATGGGCCGAGTTGCAATTACGTTCTGAATGCAGTAATAACGGTGGCCTTGTGCTAGTATTGCTAGTGCACTCATCTGTAGGATCGCCGGCTGAGGATGCGCCCGAATCACTGGGCGTATCACTAAGGCGGGATTTTGGCATTTCACTGGCATTGACAGGATTATCGGCATTGCCATTTACAAATTTGGCAGAAGCGTTCAGAAAATTCGTTAAATCCGTTGCTGTTGTAGACGTTGCACAAGAATTTCCTGGTATATTTAAAGCAGCTGCGGCCGCTGCTGCTGCTATATTGGATACATTGACTGCTGACTTTATGCATGGATTCGTTTTGTCTTGATATGTTTGGCGGGCATGTATTTGATGTAATCGGGCCAATTGTTCTAAGCTATTCGCATTTGTTGGATTTGTACTACCACCACCACCACCACCGCTGCTAGCCCCACTGCTGGCTGAACTTCCACTGGTGTGTTGTTCTTGCAGCAAACAATGAATTTTAAACCAATTCGATCTGCGGCCATACCGTGAACCACTTTTCGACATTCCCACCAGCAGACATTTACGTAAACGGCATGCCTTACAAGCAGTACGATTCTTTTTATTAATCACGCAGTCTCCGTTATTCTTACAACCGGCAATCGCTGCAATATTATTATAAGTGCGGCCAAAAAACGACTGAAATGAAATTGATTTAGAAATTTTCATTAACAATATCATTTCGATATATGTATTTTTTTAATATGTATTTTTTAATATTTTTTTAGATATAGATACAAAAAAGAAAAATATATTTAATCAAATTTTTTAAATTAGTTTCCAAAAGCACTTGTCTTTTGTTAGCCTTGTGTTATCCAAATGAGTTCGGTCTTTATGAAAATTTTACATTTCCCATGACTTGCAAAATATTACGTTTAATTTTTCCCATTTTCAAAATGATAGAGAAGATAAGGCATGAAAATGTAAAGAAAAATAAAACAGACGAGTTAAAGTAAATAGCAATATATAGAGCTATTAAATGTAGCTTAACTGGATCACGTGTATAATTGCAATTTAATTATAAGTCTGTAGTAGCGATTAGAAGAGATGGCTTATCGTAAAGCCTATTGTAAGCTTGCCGCTAAATACTTGAGCGGTTTACGAAGCTCAGTGAATAAAAGAGGTCACTAGCGCTTCTTTTTTATTTTTTATTTTTATTTTTTTTCTTTTTGATTTTCTTTTCGTTCTTTTCGCTTTTGTATGAGCATTTTTGCTTCAAATTACTTTTTAAAAGCCTTTAGTGTTTCTTTGCTTTCCCAGAAAGGATTACATTCACATGTAATTAGTGAATAGTTTGGCCAATAGAATGCCACACCCATCAACAAGTTTATAATAAATACATACACATTCTTGTAATATATGCCATACACATGTAAGGGATATATATATGCATATATATTGTTTCCTCTTCATTATAGGCCGTTAACTTTTTAATGGGAGAACTCTTCACCTCCATCTGGATTACTTACATAAGCCACTTTAATCGTCTTGAGTTTTGTATACTTACTAAGATTTACATGTGTTTGCGTTTTGTAAGCATTTTACATAAATTTATATTAACTGTTTTAAGTTTAATTTAATTTAATTAATTTTAATTAGATTTCTAACATACAGTACGATATATCATATATACAACTAGATATGTATAGTTATATATCTGTATGTGTGTGTGTGCTTTTTTTTATACTTCTTTAAGCCTGTATATGTATATATATATGTATATATTTAACTGATATACGAGTTTGCCACTTGTCTTCAAGCCTCGTCTACGTGTACCATATATTTAACTCTTTGCTTAACTAAATGACTGACTGAATGACTAAGTGACTCTGTGCATATATTTGCTTAGCAATTACAACAATAATTTAAATGCTATATATATATATATATATCTATACGTTTCGAGAGATGTAAAAGAGAAAGAGATAGATAGATAGACAGACAGAAAGAAAAAAAAAGGAAAGAGATAGATTAAAAGAGAGAAGGAAGAAAGAGAGACGTGAAGACGCAACAAATTATCTGTTCAAAGCATTTACTATAAAGCTTGCGACCTTGACTTTTTCTGCATTAGCGGATTTTATTCTTCTTCTGTTTTTCTTCTTCATATTCTTTTTTTTTTATCTCTTTTTTTTTTTTAAATATGTTCTCTTTTTTATTTGCTAATATGAATTTTATTCTATCACTTAAGGTTAGTTAGTAAACAGCAGAAGAACGCTTACATTTCATAATAATGTGCTATATATGGTGTGTCGTCGTTGCATATCTGTATTGCAATAAATGTGGCTTTAATTTTGTTACAGTAGTCGTGCCGAGTTAATTTAATATGTCATTTAATTTTATTACATTTAGTTATAAATGAAAACAAGAAGATAAAAAAAAAAAAAAAAAAAAAAAAAAAAAACTTGGAAAAAAAAAAATATAAAAATAAAAAACGAAATAACACGGATATCAAATAAAATTACCAGCATTGTTATGAATATCAGTTTGTATCAGTTACTTATATAAAAAGTATTTTGAAAGGCGATGTGAACAATCAGAAAAGACTCTTAATCGAATCTTGTTCATATATTTTCATTGGGAAGTTTCTAAAATTTAATTTTATTATATATATTAAGATTTTTTTTTTTTTGTTTTTTAATTATAAAAGAATTTTTTTATTTATTTTTATTTATTTATTTATTTTTTTTTTTATAAAGTTCAAGGCTTCTTTATACCCTACCAAGTTAGAATACATACTTACACCGTCTGTATGCCTCTACAAATTAGTAAAAATGACTTAGACAAGTCTAACTAAAATACCAAACGATTCGGCGATGTTGTTTAAGTTTATGTTAGTGAGGTCGAGTGAAAAGGTCATTGCTTGTTCGAAACATTTCTTTAGGACAATTTCTGCGAATGTAATGCTTTCAAAACCAACAACTGACATAGAAATGTTCTTAGACTGAGAGAATTTATTAACGCAGATGTGACTGTGTGTTTGCTATATGCATGCAACTACATACAATTACATTTTACTCAACAAAAAAAAAAAAAAAAAAAAAAATCCAACATTTTGACAATTTCAATAGAAGGCGTAGCATATGGCAGTGATTTATTTATGGATTATGAAATTCATGCGCGTCAATTTTACGATGCAACAATTATTTGATTGTCATTTTAAATAAGCAATTCGATTTTGATTTGATATGGGCTTAGAAAACAATTGCAAGTTGACGGCACTTTTGGCCTGTGCCCTACTTTACTATATACAAAAAAGAAAAAACAAATAAATAAATAGAAGAAAAGAAAAGCATTTCAAAGTTTTACAAATATACATAATTTAAATGGAAGGACAGGACGGTTTGGCAACAATCATCGTTCACTTCAGAGTTTCAGAGTGCACTTCATTGGGATGATCGTAATTGATTGATGGTTTGATTTTTAATTCTCAATAAGTTTTTCTGACGTATCCGAGCGTAAGAATGCTTTATCTGAACAGTCTTGTATTTGATGCGGACGCAACGCTTGCTTCTACTTTTCCTGCGGGATCTTACGGCGTCGCAGGCAGAAAAAACTGAACTAAATTGTATTCACATCACTTGTATTTTCAGTTCGCCTGACGCCCGAGCAGAAGGAAGAGAGTCGATGTCGATCGAATGATTTTGGACGAGCATCGCAGTAAGCGGACCAGCAGCTAACTTTATACGAAATTTGATTTTACTACGAACTACTACAAGATCGAATAGCAGCATCATGGTCAGTTGCAATTGTATGCCGAGCGTACTCGAATGCATTGTGAAGAGATTGTGTTTATTGGATTCGAGCATAAACTTAAGATCGCCTACAATTACATGTTAAAGGCATCAATGTCATTTTAATGTGATTGGGAATCTACTACTAAGTTTTGTCTCAAAACTTTTGATGAAACAAAATATGACCTGAATTGACCGGAACTTTTGAATTCATTGAGTGTATGGATAGCTAAATGCAAATATTTGCTGTATCCAACCTAAGCAATTCAAGCAGGTTGATGCAGGCAATTTCGGTACTAGAACGAGAAAATTGAACAAAAAAAAAAAAAAAAAAAAAAACTAAACGGTTTAGAAGAAATCTATGAAAATTACTGAAATTATGCAAAATGCAAGATTAGAAGGATTAAGAAATGCATCCGAAGAGAGGAGGGCCAAAAATACCAAATTGACTTGAAAATTATACGCACATATACATATATGTTTTCTGTTTTGATTGCTCTCTGAAGAAGTTATAAAAGATCAGTCAACGTAAATTTATAATCTAATTTGATAATAAGAGTAACAATAATAATAATAATAATAATAATAATAATAATAATAATAATAATAATAATAATAATAATAACAATAATAATAATAATAATAATAATAATAATAACAATAATAATAATAATAATAATAATAATAATAATAATAATAGTTTATTATTAAATCCAATCAAATCGAAATCAGATCACAATTTCGAAAAATTGCACGATAATAGAAAATGTTTTAGGTTTTTCGTATCTCTCGCCCATCTTTCTTTTTGTTTCTTTCTTCTTTTGCAAATAAAAGATTTCATAAGATCATGACTGTGCAAAAAAAATGGTGCAGTAAAACTTTTACTTTTTCTTCGGTTTGATTTTTTTTCTTTCTTTTTTTTTTTTCTCAGCAAACAGAAGACCTTACTTTGATCAACGGCTTGAATAACAGCTGCCTTACGTGTATTGTGTTCTCTCTTTATGTGAAGCTTGAGTGCAACTGAAAATTAAACGTAATTAAATAAAAATCAAAGCAATCGTGTAAATCGATTTTTAATTAAGCTACTGAGAGACACAGAAAATTATATATGCTTTAATCTATGAAAAATTATTTCCATAGAGATATGCACGTATAATAATAATAATGCTAAGAAGAAGAAAACAAAAAAAAAAAAAACCCAACAAAGAAGCGTATGAGTGAATCGATGAATTGTGCAGTCGATCAAATAAAAATCACATGCATATTAGATGAGTCTACAGAAATGCGATTTTCGTTGTTATCAGCGTTACTGGTGATTGTGATTGTTATTGCAAAAATCCTTATATCTACTTGATATAATAGCAATTAAGGCGCGAAGGGGGCGAGGTATCAACACTGTACGGAGAAATTTATTATTGTAAATTATAATGGATAACAAATGCTGTATGATATATGCCTATGGGAAATATTTTAGATGACTTAGATGTTAAAATTTTTTATAGGTCAAGCGTTTGAGTTTGAATTTCTTTTTAGCCAATCAGTTATTAACAAATGAATCAATGCTGACTAATAACATAAAACGACGCTCACGATACGGCTTCGGCTTGAGTGTAATGCGTTGGGACCATTCAATCAATCACTTTAATCATCGTAGAATATACATATATATATATATATATATATATATATTTATATATATAATTAATTTGCATTGTTTGTATTATTTGGGTAAACTTTGTGTGCTATCATCACTAATAGAACCCGAAATATTTAAGTAAAATTAAATAACATGTAAAATAATTATATTTGGGTCACAGCCGAATCTTTTACACTCATTATCGTTATCCTGTCTATGTCTATTCTCGCAGTCCATTTGTTTAATGCCCATAACGACGGGATCGTAAAGAAAAATTAATCCGCCACGTTGTAACGTCTACCCAAGTCTCTTTGTTTGATACCCAGGTGATTATAATGCTAAGAGGAAATGAACCTAACGTCTTATGGGATCCGCCATATTTATTACGCCAATTAATACAGTTGGCGAGAGTTGGTACACGTAACTGTCAGAAATGTAAAGAATAGCTTTCAATATTCTGTCTTGTTCACGTTATGGGCAATAAGCGGAACACGTAAAAAGAGTGAAAGAATAAAAATTTGATCACTTATAACCTTGTGTGGGTGTGGTCGCTTTTCCCAATTTTTTTACAAAGTAATTATAAAAACTTTCAGCAAAGAAATCTAAAATTTTTCTTTAGAGAAACAGATATATGTCTAGTTTCCGCTTTACTATGCACATGTGTTTTGAGCATGTGTTTGTCCCATTTTCAATACCAACCAGCGTGTAAGAGCTTTTCAGATTTTTGCCAAATTTGGAATCAATAACTTCATCACACAACAGACAGATGGGCAAGTTTAATTGGTTTTAGAATTTGATGGTTATTCAGAGTGTATATATACATACATATATCTCGTCGTTCTTCTATGATAAGTGCAAAAATTATATGTATACGTAGTGGAGAACCAGTTTTCACAAGAAATTTTTGGAATTGTATTTAGCTGTTTTCGTTAACGAGGGCTTTTCGAATCCGAGCCAGGACTCTTCATATAAATTTCGAGTAAATAAGTTCGTAGTTCGATGCGAACATACAAAAACATAAAAAATTTAATTACCCCGCATGTAAACTATTCTGTCTATCAATAAAATCATTAATCTAAGCTACGTATAGGACGATTTCGTGTAGAGTGTAAAGTCTTATCAGTTAATTGCGGTCTCACTTGATGGGAAGCGGGGGACACGGAAAGATTTAGATGTGTGCGAAAAATCCTGTGGACTGCAGGTATGGATTAATCATTTGCTCTTCTCTCAAGCAGATATTCCGAATGGTAATCAAATGTTAAAATGTTATCTTGTTTCAGATTCATTTGTCTCTCTATTACTGTATTACTGATGTTAAGCCATTAGACAAAATAATATAATATTTCTTGTTGAATTTTTCAATCTGTACGGTCCGATTATTTGTATAAAGAAAGGTTTGAAAAGTCGTTTGCGGTTCTGCATGCACGTAGACTCTACATTAAAAATAATGCCAGTTTTGCGTCTTGGCGTCTTGCGGTGAAATCTGTGCTGAGCTTCCAGGAAAAAGTTTTAAACTAAAGCAAGGGCGCTTTAATTGCGATGAAAGAAAGTGCTGCTAGTACGGTCCTTGTCAAGGTCAACTGTGTACCAAAAGTTTTACGGAACTTGTCACATCTAACATATGATTTATTATAAATTACTAGAAAACATCCATAGGAAATGAAGAGCACTGACTGCTAAAGCGATCAGCTCGTGGAGCGGAATTATAAAAATTGAAATAGATTTGATTTGAAGATTCAATATAGTCGAGGACTTTGATTTCATTATCCAGTCTGAACGATTTTAAAGCAGCCAGAGTTTGAGAAGGACCAAAGATGCTAAAGTAGGTGGGGCAAGCTAATAATATATACCATCTCTTGTAATAACTATTTTGTGTTTTAAACAAATTGATTGACGGGAAGTGCTTGCGGGTTGTAACGATATGTTTTATATGAAGTTTCAAAAAAAACTTCAACTTTCCTCTTTTCTACATTACTTGGAGAGAAGGTGTTGCGATTTAGGAATCGTACGGATTAAGGTGAGTCGAATTTAAATTAAATGAAATCTGATATATTTTTGGTTTAGTTTAGCGAATCTTTCACATCTGATTTTATTTCTATCTGACAATATCATCACATATAGTTGAAGCTGTATGCATGCATTGCAAATTCAATTTTTTCATACTGTAATATTTTATTATATAATATAAAATAGTCAGCATAAATAATTCAAATTGAAATTGCATATCACAAGATGGCAAAAAATTCATATTACTGAGTAAATGAAAACAAATAAAACAACTTTAGTCATTACGTACTTTACGCCACTTCCCCTAATACTGTCACTTATGCCATGGCTTTTCAAAATAAGTCGTTCGTCTTTTTGGGCAAAAAACGTGTCGTTACACCAAAGTTCATTAATAAAATATATTTCAAAAATGATGGCCTTTAGGTTGAACACAAGTATACAGATATTAGATGGACAAATGGACAGACAAACAAATATACAATTAAACTGATTCTGAATCAATCGATTGGTATACAAAGAGTCGGTCTATCCCAAGTCCTTTTGGCTGTTGTATGCATCCGCACAAACCCAAATGGTGTGGCATGTAATAAAATTTACAAATTTTTGTAATTATTTTCTAAGCGAAATCGTCCTCAATAAAAAAAGTGATTTAAGCAAAACTTGAAAAAAATTATTATAATCAATCGAATCCTTTACATGAAGTAAATATTGAACATAATATATAATAAATCATTGAAAAATTTTAAATTTTTTTAAATTCGTTTCTCATTTAAATGGATTAGAAGGTGCAAAATAAATCTTATCCCAGTCACTTTTATGTGACGCTATAAGTATAAGAGCTTGGAACGTTTACGAGAAACCGGCACAAATTTAGCCAAGCGTCTAGGACTTGCTTTATTGACGTAGATGCCTCCTCACTTGACTGTATCAGGTCTCCTCACTATTGTCTTTATACACTTTATTAAGATTAACTTATGTTCACTTCTTTGACAGTGATTAAGCGACTACTTGTGTTTCTAACACACCCGGGATAGCCAACACTTTGTTCATTGTGGATGCAATTGCCAGATGTAATAGCAATATTTTTCAAATTAGGTTTAAGCTACTAAATGGCGAATTCACAAGAGCTTAGATTCTACTATTTTAGAAGAACTATTTATTTATAGGAATTTATATATTGACTTTACTCTCTTCAAATGTCACGATCCAAATCCATCTACCTTAAGAAACTTCTTGTTTATAAAGTTCCTGAATGTCACATATATCTATTCATTCATTCATTCATTAATTCATTCTGTTCTCACTGTTACACCTCTAATGCGCTCGATTTCCCGGCTTATATTCCTCTTACTTTTTTATCGATTCGATTTTCCAAAAATTGTTCATAATATTTTTAGATTAATAATCGCCAGCTAAATAGGATGCATTTAGTTTGTGTCCATATCCCACCTGGATGTGTGAGAAAAATTCCATCAACATCATCATCAAAAGCAAAAGCTTATAAGAAATAAACGCGTATCCTGGCTTCTAGCAGCAAGTTTGAAACTTTATCTAAATAGTTGAAAACATTTAGTTTTTATAGTTAACCCAGGAGGAAGCCGCAGAGACGCCACAAAACATATTTATTCTTCATCAGCAGCAAATTTGGAATCGATATAAACACGTCCATCTATCAGTCTGGAGCCTCTTGCAAGCAGGTTGTTATTGAAAGTTGGTCAAATCGATCTAAACATACGCCCACATAACCACGTAAACTGAGAACACCTCTGTTGCTCACTACCCATACACTACACCAACTAAATGCACGCAAGCGTATGAGCGTACGTTCTACGCGCGATGCTGCACTATATTCACAAAATTGAGAGAAAGTGATCACGCCCATTTAATATAATAATGAATATAATTTCATTTCAATTTAATTCTTTTCCATTTTCTTAGTCAATGATGGGTATATAAGATTCGATCATCATCAACTGTAATTTTCCTATGTTTTTCTTTCTCTTAGAGTCTGCATTTGAATTCGTTACTTGTGATTTGATCGATTTTTGAAGAGTTCTTTCAACATATATACATACAAAGTATTCTTAACTTGAATTAGGTTAGTTAGGTTAGGTAATGCTAATAAGATTAAACAATGTTAAGTCCCCCCCACACACGCACATATATGATAATTCACATACTTGTATATAATCGCAGTTGTATTCTAATATCTAGTATTCAAGATATCAGTTCACTAGCATACCTACAATTAAGAGAACATATAATCTTGTGAGTTAAAAATTATCTTTCCATGTTGTCGCTTTAACTGGAAAGCTGTAAAGCTGTAAAGCTATAAAGCTCTGAAATATACAAATTTTCACATTTTTCGGGCAAATTTTACTCATTGTACTGCATAGGACTTATGTCTTTAAATCGTTTCGGTTACTTTTTACGCGAAACACTGGTAGTTCGCGTTAAACTTAAACATTTCGCCATGATTTTTGATAAATCGTCTTTCGCATCGTTTCCATGTGAGGATGCGAAAAAGATTATTCTGCTTATAATTACTTGATCATTATATAATAATCATACTTTCGACTTGTGTCGAAGCTTCAAGGCATGTACTTTTATAATTTCGAGAGCTTTCAACCTACCTTGCAGCCTTCACATGTAAAAGCACCAAAATGAAAGCCAGCCGCTGGTTCGCCGCATACTTTGCACAGCTGGTTCATCTGCGAAAGGAAAAAATAATTAAGTAAATAAATCGAGAGAATAAAACCAAAATAAACGAGAAATTTCATAGGTTTTTTTTTCTTTTTTTTTTGTTTAATTGGGATGCAGTATATTAAGGCGTTCACGCTGATCGCAATTTCGGACTTTCGGGGGCAAACAAATAAAAAGTTTGTCAACACAAAAAAAAAAAAAAAAAAAAATACGAAACAGAATTAAGAAAAAATATGTTACAATTATTGAAATTGTGTTGAAATCCACCCAAATACTCCTCGGAATAGAAAAGCAAAGCTGGCGCGTTTGGTTTTGCGATCAAGCAAAAACGGGCAAAACGTCGGTTCACTTCGTTGTTGAAATCACTTTCGGTGTTAAACGCACTCTAAGAATTGTTAACTCGCGGCACATAAGTGTAATCTTAATTAGCAACTTGGAGCTTATCCAATAGGCATAGCTTTTACAAAATTCCCAAAAGTTATTTTCTTCCTTTGCATCGAAAGAAAAGGAAACGGTCGACAATCGTGAGCTTTATTATGCCAAATTATGCCAAAGTCGATGCAATCTGTAGAGAATAAAGCCATTTGAAAGTACACTGAAAGCTGAATGGAAAGGGAGAAGCAACCTCCTGTGTATCAAACTTTAATGGAATTCTCGTCGAATTTCGAGTTATATTTAGAAGGTGTTGCGTGTGCCGTGCAGGCAAAGGATCACGAGTACTAACTTAATGGTCGCGGATTGAGATGTCAAGTGCGATAGCGTTTTCAATATATTTAGGCGGACATATGAGCCGATCGATCAAGTTATCTGGCACCCGTTAAATATCCACCCTTTGTAAATTTATTTGCAAAATGCATTAGAAAATAAATGAATAAAAAATAATAAATTTTTCAATTTGATCTGATCTATACTAAGGTTATGCTCTTCTTCTTCTTCGTCTTCTTCTGTTTTTCTTCTTCTTCTTCTTCTTCTTCTATATGGTTGCGATGAAAACACGAACGCAGATTTTCAGAAATGGTCTAAAACGCATGCACTCAACTATTCACGAATGGCACGATAAACTTAATTTGCATACATTCGTATGCAGATGTTAACTACAAAAGTACTTAAGATTTTTCATAAATTTATGTACATAAAGTTTATAGTTTGTTTATGGGTCTGCATAATTTGCGGTTGAGGTCATACTACGCAATAATGGCACGACATAGTTGTTCTTAGTAAATCAACAACAATTTTATGTAGAAATACTTTTGAAAGATGTTTCTTCTTCTTTTTTAAACGGGCAATAAAAGTAACGAAATCTTCCATTGAGAAGTAAACTAAAGCTTAATATTTACAAAAACCAATAGAAAATTTATGTTCGCCAGAGTGTTGGAGACTTAGAGCATATTAAAAAAATTCGCTTAGTTTGTGAAAATTGTTTTTAGCATAGTGGGCATCATATTGAGACGTTTAACATATCCGGCCTTCGCCGGGCTACGTTAAAAAAGTTTGTAGCAATTTTCAAAATGAGATCATTAAGTAGACCGCAATTTTCTGTTAATTATTTGCAAAATTATTTGAAAAAATGATTTCCCTGCTTCGACTACACGCCGCAACTTCATTCATGTTCTACACAATTAAATTTACATATGTAAATTTAATATCTTGAAAAGGATGAAAATATTTCCTGCAGCATAGCAGCATGTATTCAGCTTTCGCTTAATCGAGTCGATAATGATGCATATGATAAATAGACAGAAATTAGAAAAGATATTAAGATCAACTAATAATATATTTCGTATATTGAGTATAAATTAAATTAAAAGAAAGTAAACACACATCCACAAATAAATAAGAAAATCATATTCACCTGAAGCAGCAGCAGCAGCAGCAGCAGCAGCAGCTTTTACTCTCACTAAATTGTGAATCAAAAGTAATTTAAAAAAAAAAAAAAAAACTAGATATTCTATTATCTTGGCGGTGGCGAGGGGAAGGGGAGGCGGATGGGGCGATGCTTTACACTCGCTTACTAATAGAATGTACGGGTAAATTTCGATTACTACAGTTAATGAATAATAAATAAATATTTCGACAAAATGGACATGTTCCCATCCTTATCATTTAGTTATAAAGACACGAAAAAATGATAATAATGTAATATTTTATCATCTGTCAAATGCAATTATGCAACGCTTTACATTCATCGTAATGCGAAAATCCTATCTATTCTTTTCCATTGTATATGCGACTTATGCGATTATTATTCATAGAAGAAATACTGATCGCTAAGCTTTAATAGGTTAGACCTCAATTTGCAACAATTGGTTTATCTTTTTAGATGATTTAATGTTAGATGTGTAACGTAGGAAATTTTCGATTCGATTCGATTCGATGAAAAGCCAGCGAGGAGATGTGCAAACAAGTGAGCAAACGCTAATGATATCAAAGATAATCCTGTTAAAAATTAAATAAATTTCTTTAATGATGAGTCAATCTATGTAATATATATATATATATGCGACCGATGTGATAAAAATGTGGTCAGTTGTGACTAGCCATCGATTCTATCGTTGTGTTTGGTGTGTAATAAAGTTGATGAAGAAAATTATAACTTGACATCGTGTAGGGTATAAGTATGTGAGAAATATCAAAAGTCTCTGTTCTCGGATTCGCATAAATTTTTTAATTTATCAACTAGACTTTAAATTAATGTAATTTTGTTTTTTTTTTTTTTTTTTTTTTTTTCAATTTTCTTCATTGTTGTTTTTGTAATTGTAGTCAGTTTCAATGATTGTGTATTGAGCAACTAACTCACACATAACAAGTGTTTAATGCTTTAACGCCTTTCAAACTGAACTGAACTGAACGATTTTATTGCCAGTAATTTCTTTTCTTGTAGTTGTAAATAGCAGCAACAGCAACAGAAACAGCAACAGCAACAGCAACAATAATAACAACAATAACAACAATAACAACAATAATAATAATAGTAATAATAATAATAATAATAATAATAACAGCAGCAGCAATAGCAACAACAGTAAGAATATGTGTATTTGCTAAATGGCTACATTTTTCAAAGCAGTCAGTAGGTCAAAACGAATGTCAAGCAGAAGAAGAAGACGACAACGCCAAACTATGGCACTTGGAGTAAATTTCATTTCAATTGAATGACTTTTTTCTCCTTGAATGTGGTTTAAAGACAAACACAATTGTTAGCTAAGCCAGCGTTTTTGTTCTATGCAGCCGTATGTCTTTCAATATTTGTTTGTTAAATTGCGATGAAATACTACCAAACCAATGGAACTGTGTGAATTTCTAAAGTCAATATATATATATTTCTTTTTTTTTCTTTTTTTTGGTGCTTACAAGTTATAGCAAACAATAACTGAAATATTAAACGAGAATCCTTAAGAATTAAGATGACAACGGGGAGTGAGTAGGAGAGAAAAAGAATAAATAAAAACGAGAAAAAAATGCTGATGATGAAGAACAAGAAAAAGAAGAAGAAGAAGGAAAAGCGGGAGAACCCAAAAAAAAAAAAAAAAAAAACCAAAAATACAAACAGTTATAACTCTGAAGAAGATGCGCAGTCAACTTTATGCCACCAACAATCGAGCACAAACAATTGGTGTAATGACCCGCTGTTTATGCTGCCGTTGCCAGGTTCGACATAAACGAAATCTTTGCCATTTGCAACCGGTTTTATTCAATACAAGCATCATCTATGTACCTATGTGCCTATGTATATCCATGCAATTTGACTATAACATACATATGTATACGTAGTGTATGCCGGCAATAATAATACCAACGCCTGCTTAAACTGCCCGATTGCCAGGCAGGCAGTCAGCCAGCCAGCCAGCAAGTCAGCAACCGGCCAACCAGCCAACCAGCCTATGCCTATACATTTTCTATATGATTGTTTGTCAGTTTGCTTCTTTGCGACCCATATGACCGCGCTTCAAATATGCATTTGCTATTTTGGTATGACCAGCTATTTGACTGGCTGAGTGCTTGACTGGCTTGCTGGCTTGCTGGCTGGCTGGCTGGCTGGTTGGTTGGCTGGCTGGTTGACTGTTTGCCTCATAAAGTTTGGGTCAACATAATAATAAGTTTATCTTGTGAAAATTTTCACAAACCGCAAAGAATTTTACCTCATTTGCACAAAGTATTACAGAAAAAATGTTTCTTGTTCTTCTTCGTTTTCCTTTTGAATTTTCGACTCGAGCAAACGTCTCCTACAGTCAGTTTTAATTTGGAGTCATTGCAAATGCTTGGCAGATAGTTTTCATAAATTTCAAGTGTATACCAGGAACATAAAAGAAGAAGAATAATTTACAATGACACCTGATGTGCATGTATGCGTGAATATTTGGAATACATGAACAGAGTTCCTGTTTAGCGTAAACTATGCCCAGTAAAATATGTAATTTTTCTACCCTCCCCGTCCCGTCCAAACAAAGGAATTATGCTACTTCTGCTGCTATTTCACTAGCAATATCTAGACACATCCAGATTCGTAGATTTTGCAAACTATATTTACACTTGATGTCAGTCTGCCTTTCCGATATCTCTAAAGTTCACAGCAAAATGAACAAACTGTCATCACTTGCTACACCTTACTACATTTAGTTTTGCTTTTGAAGAAAGTGTTGCAATCGTTTGGGAAGAAAAAGTCCTGCATCAGGTCTTGAGTTATTCGATATTCGAGTTTTTAAAGATTTTCATAAAACTGTTGAGATATTACGCAATGACGCTGCGTAAGATGAGAACAACTTTTACTATCGATGCGTTTTAAAAATGCTTTGCATTAAATTTGCATTGAGTTAACAGAAATCGTTAAAAGCGTTTGTCTTCTTGTCACTTAGAAGAACTTGTGCACACTAATCACTTTTCTATTTTCTTTTTGCTTGTTGTTACTGTGACCTATCACTCCGGGTATGATTGTACGATATCTGTACGACACGATGTGATCGTCCGTGGAAATTGAAGGAAGACAAAGAGACAGGGAAATGGTTGCAGA